ATACATACACACACTCCAATTTCCTGCTGAAACCTACAGCATCTGCTCTTCCCAAGTTTCTTCCCTCATTTCCTTAACGATAGCTTTCCTGGCGAACGCATCCGGTTGCTATCATTTCTATGCTGATGACTACTAAACTAAAAACTCCAGAGAGGTACTTCCAAGTACCTATGAGGCTTTGCCACCAGTTATCCCCCTAGCGCTGCACAAACACAACATTTGAAAGCCAAACTCATTACCTCATCTCCCAAATTTGGCGTTCTTCTTGGTTCAAGATACTACTATTACCTTAGTCCAAGCTAGAAAGCTGCTTTATCTTTCATTCTTTTTCCCTCTTACATCCTGCAGTCAAACGTCCCCAGCTCAGAAGTGTCTTCTAATTGATCCTCCCTCTTTAATTCCTATTCCTGCTGCTTTTCCTTAGCTCAAATTCTCCTGCTGCCAAGGTCATCTAGTGGGGTTGCCCCCAATCCCTTCCAAACACACTCTTTTTATCTATTCTGAACCACTCGTAAGCTCCCAGCACACATCCTGTGGTTTTATCCATCCAGTAAACAAGTAACTACTGAGGGGGCCTATGCACTAGGCACTTTACTAAATGCTTTATATATGTTGCATCATTTAATAATTAATATACTTCAGGCAGACTGGTATTTAATAGCTCCATTTTTTATAGCTGAAGAAACTGAGGTTCAGATTAACTTCACAAATCATAGAGCTAAAGAGAAAGCAAGGATCCAAACTCAGGCCCCTCCAATACCCTGGGTTTTAAAATACCTAGCATCCAACTCAGTACCAAAAAACAGTGAATACTAGATACATTAATAAAGATGAAGAATTATTCAGTAAACTGATGTGTTTATATTAGGGAGAAACAAATCAAAAAGAAACCCCGATGGGTCAGGATGGCCGTTTCCCACTAGATTGAGGGCTACACTGGAAAAGAGCAGACTTCTCATCAAGTTTCTGAGGCAATACACCACTACTAACTTGAGCAGTCCAAAAGAGGGTGGGCAGCCTGATCAATCTCTGTCACAACTGTTATAACCTCTTATCAAGGCGTTATGAAAAGAATGACAATGCTGTATATATGAATACAATCTGCTTAGGGTTCATCATGTCTGTTTTACAGATGAAAAGCTTATGAGAGATTGGAACCCTCCCAAGTCTAGAACTACCGCTGCTGCTCTTAGATATACCTATAGGTGACAAGATTTAGGTGAAAAGGAATTAAAGGCTTTGCTCTAATTATCCACACACTACAAAAGTGTTCAAATATAGCTTAAACAAAGTCATGAGAAATTGTTGATATTTGATTTTAAATACAGTGTTCAGCCTACTAGTTCATCTCTTGACAATCCAGGAAACATAAAGGTCCAGGAAAACCAAAAATAATATAAGTGGTATAAGACACACATGAAAATAAAGTTATATGAAAAGATATGATGATAGAATTTTTCAGTGGTCCATATATTTTCTGGTTTTATGATTGAGATTAGCCTGGTAACTGACTTCGACTAGAAACGTGGGTCTAATGCCAAAGAGTGCAATATGTGCTCAATTACTATGACATGCTAAGCAAACTCTTAAGATTTTCCACTGGATACGGCAATATAATGTTTATTAGACAACCTCAAGGTGCTAGAATTTAACTTCCAATAGGATAAAAAAAAATCTATCAATGTTTATTAAATGAAAACACAGATGAATTACTGTATGGTAACCTTAAGACTCAAAGTTTTGATCTTTGCAAAGTGTGAATAACAGGCACTGATTTTCAAAAAGAAAAAAAGAAAGGCAGTGCCCTAACTTCAACAAAAAACTCTCAGCTTTTATTAGTTTAAACCATTTGAAATTATGAATATTTAATTATTTTGACCTCCAGAAAGGACAAAAAAAAAAATCAAAGGAAAAGTAAAGAGCAAATACTGTTTAACGTGATACATCACAAACTGGACCCAGGGCAAACGCCCGGGGGGGTGGGATCCATCCTCAGTAGGGGGCATGCAGGAGGCAGCTGACCTGTCATGCTCTCACACTGATGTTTCTCTCTCCCTTCCTCTCTCTCTAAAAATCAATAAACTATTCCTAATAAATAAGTAAAGTTCATTTAAAAAACAAAACAAAACAAAACTGCCTCCAGGAGTTCTCTAAACAAAAGTGTCTTGAAAGTAAGGAGTACTATCACTAGAATTCTTATTTCATAGAAACATGAATGATCTGCCTAAAACGACTTAAATAAGCAAAGAATAAGAACCTTCATTTGTTATAGTATACCGCACCTGCCCACAAACAGACATCTATCATAATTCTTATCATCCTTGAGGTGTTTACTACGAGAACTTCACCTAAGAGCAAAAGCATGGAATAGTACCCTGCTCATTACTACCTTTGCTTTTTGGTGAGCTTAGGTCACTGCAGTTACTACTTTTCACTTGACAACACAATCTGAAATGATTGATTCTTTAACTTGCAATAATGCCTAGAGGCTCAATGCCTCTGCTTGTTCTTAAGTTCACCTGAATCTAACCAGAGGACAAAAAGAGCTAAATCCAGACAACAGGATCTCTCAGTTCCCCAGGGTTATTCTTCATCAGAAGGGTTAACCGCAATCTGAAACGGAGTCATGAAACTGTTGTTGCCAGTGCTGGTCGGGCGTTTTCCCCCTTTGTTGGTTTCAGGCGAATGCTATGTTACAGAAAATAAAGTGGGTAAAGAGAGTAGAGAAACAAGGGTAAGAACTGAGAACAAAGCAAAATCTGGAGTCATGGTTACAGCACTAGGATAAACCCCAAGGTGAGGAATCAGCGCGGCTCTCCTGCACAGAGTCGTCGTGAATAAACCCTTAGACCCTTCTGCTATCTATTGTCCCGCACCTAGAGCTGGCCCGTGACACTGCCCTGGAAGATGCTCTTGGCATCCTTCCCATACAAGAGGCTGTAGAAATGGAAAAACGGTTACCTAGGAAAACTGGCCAAGGGAAGTGTCAGAAGCTCCAGGCTGGAGACACACCCCAGGACCCCAGCAAACGGTGGAGGGGGGCGGGGGGCTGTGGACGGTCATGGAGGGTCCACTTTGCAAGGAAAACGAAATCTGGCCCGAGGCTGTGATGGCCAATAGAACAGGAGGAGTCAGGCATGACCAGAAAATGGTCTGAAGGGACTCGCAGGCTTGTGCCAGTGGCAGATTAGGCTCCAGGTGGAGAACCCCGGCCGAAGACCGTCGGAGGCCGGAGCCTGAGGGTCATCAGCCCCGCGGGGTCGGGGCTGTCGGTCTCCCGCCGGCCCGGGCCTCCGGAGGCACCCACGGTCCGCTGCTCCGGACCCGCCCTCGCTTCCCCGGTGCGGGCGTCCGGGGCGCCGTAACTGCTCCGGGCCCGCCCCAGCGGCCGGGCCCGCACCCCTTCACCCCCTCACCTTCCAGTCCTTCCATCGCGACGCCGCCTCGGGC